TTTTCTATGTTGCACAAAAATTGTGCATATGGTAGAATTTTTGAATGGTAGATACAAGGTGAATGTTAGATACTATGTTAAGTTAGTATCTACAAGACTTAGGTAATCGTAGAATTTTATTCTGCGAAAAATATGTATCGATGTTAGGTCGTGATTAAAGTAAGAGAAAAGAAAAGTTAAACTTTAACGAAAAGTTAATCTCATGATAAATTGCTTAAAAATGCGCAAATTTATAAGATTTAATTAAAGTTACCGTTTCAATGAGAAAATTGATAAACGGTAGGAGACTAAACGTCCTGTTTGTACCAGCCTTCGAAGGAAACGTTATTATGAAAGAAATGAAACCGTGACTGAGTTGGATTGGTTAGCTACCCCACTCCTCACTGGTTATGCGCGCTATGGTACAACAAGACAAGGCCCATAAGAAGTAAAAGACAAGAAAATAAAACACAGAAACCATTCCATATAATGGTATGGTATCCGTAAACAAGAATGAAAAGAATGAGAAAAACAAATGAAAGTCGTTTAGAATTCTGTACTAGGATATATTACATGAATGCATATATGGGTATGTATAATTGTTGCATCTGTTTATGACCTATTGATACTTGCTGAGCGAAAGCTCATTTAGTTTGTTTGTGTTGTAGGAAGCACGAGTAAGGCACCGGCTCCCTGAAACTTTTTGCTAGGCATGCAGAGAGGATGTAGCAATGGAATGTGGGCAAGTGGGTTGTGGATGTATCACGCGTTTTGGAAACGCTGCTGAACATTATGTGTAAATTAAAAAAGTATTTTATGTATTTTGATGACTAATGTAACATAATGCTGTCAGAATGCTACAACATTTTAGGAATGGCTGAAAACAGAATGCTAGTTAAATGCTACAACACTTTAACGTATATGTTAAAGAAAAAAAAAGGGCCTGAAATTTTAAGAAGTTATAACTAGTAAATTGTAGAGGTTAAGAAATGGTAAGTATGAGCATAGGATGATGATCAAAAGTTAGGGTCGTCACACTCTAGGAGTGGTGCAGAGTAGCTGGATTATTTACTACTGATCAATCAAGTGAGGATTGTATTCATCCTCTTAGATAAATGTAAGGAAGTGTAACTTCTGTAAACTTTTATACTTAGATTTCTAGACTGTGGTTGATGTCTATAATGTTATTTATATGTTCATGTATGTACAATACTGTATGTCCTGTGCGTGGAGCCCTCTGTGTTGTCAGAGGCTCAAGTCCTAGAAATTTATATTTTAATCAAGTGTGGGGCTTGTTGGGAATTTCTTTTATTATCGCGCGTTTAACACCTAACCGAGCTCCACGTCGCAGACCCGTGTGTGGGGGACGTGACACATTCAGCTAGCATTCTATTTTTATTCGTAAAATGCTGCAGTATTATGTTTTCAACTATTCGTGAAATGTTATAGCATCCTGTTTTCAACTATTCGTGAAATGCTGTAGCATTCCGTTTTCAACTATTCTGAAATGTTGTAGCATTCTGTTTTCAACTATTATGACATGTTGTCGCATTCTGTTTGCAACTATAATGAAATGTTGTAGCATTCTATTTTCAACTATAATGAAATGTTGTAGTAATTCGTTTTCAACTATTATAAAATGTTGTAGCATTCTGTTTTCAACTATTATGAAATGCTGTAGCATTCCATTTTCAACTATTATGAAATGTTGTAGCATTCCATTTTCATTAACCCTACCTTGTGCTGCCCTATCAGCCATAGATGCAAATGCTGATGCCATACCCTCCTGTGCCAACCTACTATCCGCCTCAATATCCACAGTTTCGGCCTCAGGTGCCGGGACCGGTGCAGCTACCTCTGCCACAACAGTATAGGCCAGGAACTCATAGGCCTAATGTTGGTGATAAAGGAAAGGGGAAAGCGTATGGACAAGCTTATCGTAACACCCTGAATAATTAAATGAGATTAATTAAAGAAATTGAGATTTATTAGTGTGCCTGATCTGGATTAATTAAAGGGTTATTAATTAACAAATGTTTCTAATGTGAGAATTTAAATAATTTCAAGGTATTTAAATATTCTCAATATTTACAGTTTTACCCAAAAGTGTGTATGGGTGCATTTCTGGACTGTCATCTCCCCTGCCTCCTTCAGATGATGACGGTCCTGATGATGATTCAGATGCTGGCGATGCTGCAAACTTAGACGATTAGTTCCGTTATAGGTACTTTTTTCTTTTTCACTTTATTTAGACTTTTATATTTTTTTGAACATTATATATGCACTTTATGTAGTATTCATAACATATTTTAAAAATTTATTTAGATTTACTATTTTTAATATTAATTTATATTTCACTTTTAATGTATCTTAATAAATTCTATTTAGTATGTAACATAATAATGTTTAATTAAAAATATTAAAAATTAAATAATTGCCATTTTTTAAAAATTAAAAAAAAATTAATTTTGGTTTTTTTGTGACGACTTTTTTAGACTTGTTGTCGCAAAAAAAAGATTATTTGTGACGACAATTTAAAATATCCTCACAAAAATGGATCATATCACGAGAAATTTGTGACAACGTATTAGCGACAATTATGGTCGCAAATACATTTGCGGCGATATTATGTCGTCGCAAATAATTTATTTGTGATGACATGTTGTCGTCGTAAAAAATTTTATTTGCGAGGACATTCGGTTTTTTGCGATGACTTTTTGTCATCGCAAAACCCCCTTTTTTTGTAGTGAAAAAAGAATAACCTACGAATAAATTATTTATTCTCCTATGAAAGGGGAAAAGAACATCCATTGCGAATGGAGAAATGGAGAAAGGATTTAGAAGTTAGAAGCTATCTAAAGAAGTTAAACAAGTTATCTAAAGAAGTTAAAGAAGTTATCTAATCGTCAGCATAGACGTGACTAGCTCCTACTACTGTATTTTGAATATGACTTTGCCTCTAAAACTTGTTCATTATGAGATGTACTACTAGCCTTTTTCATATTTATAGTCTCTAACAGAGAGATTCGTCTTTCCAACTAAAAGTGTAGTCACTAAAGTCTCATATGATTTGGGTAGGGAGCCAACAAAATTACAGCTATATCTTTTTCATCAATTTTGACCTCTACACTGAATAATTGAGTTATGCATTTATTAAAATTGTTTATATGATCCCTAGCGTCACTTTCTTCATCCATCTTCAACTCATACAATTACTTCTTCAAATATAGTCTATTTTTTAGGGATTTTGACATACAAACTTTTCTAATTTTTTCTAATATTTTGCTTGTAAACAACTAACAAATTAGACACAGAATTGATTCATTGAATCAATTGGAGTAAAGAAGAGTGATTGAGAAAGAGGAAACAATCGAAATGTCGACATTGCCAAGGTTTGTGGTGCTCAAATCCGCCTACAACGGCAAATATTTGAGCAAGATAAGTAACGAAGAGAGTACCAAAAAGGGGCTGCCGACAACGTTTCTGAAATTTCATGGAGAGGAGATTGCGAGTCCTTACACAAAGTTCCAAGTGGAGAGAGTGAAGAAAAACCTGAAATTCGTGCACTTACGCTGCTGTCACAACAACAAATACTTAGTATGGGGGCTGGCGGGAAAGTCGAGTTCACGTCCCCTATGGATCGTTGCCGCGGATATGGATCGTTCACTATGGAACTTGTTAGAGCCTGCCCAAACTCATGAAGATCGTTTCTGATTTCTCCAAACCTCAACCGAGCTTTACGCTTGTCTCTTGAGGGAGAAGGAGCCTTACACGGATGGCTTGTTCGCAGGATCAGGCTCGATCGACACTGACTTGCTCTCGACGTTCAAAGTCTTGGATTGGGAATCGCTTGTTGTATTTCCCAAAACCGTGGCCTTCAAGCTGGGTGGCAAATACCTCAGCCTCTATTGGATCGAGGGCCACCCGTATCTGCAGTTCGTATCCACCGACAGCGGTGATCAGATGATAGTAAACGAGATCTCCACCTTCGGCGATGGATTTGTCCGCATAAGATCCCTTTCGACCAGAAAGTTCTGGAGCCGCAACCCCAACTAAATCTGGGCCGACTCTATCTACTCCACTGGCTGCGACTCCGACACACTGTTCTGGCCCATCAAACTCGCCGACAACCTCATAGCACTCTGCAATTCGGGAAACAACTATATCTGCAAGAGTCTTACCACCGAAGGCAAGAGGGACTGTCTCAACGCCGCCGTGCCCAACATTATTAATGATGCGAAGCTGGAGGTGGAGGAGAGCGTCATCTCGAGGAGTATCTACAACATCAATTTCTGCCGTGAAGAGGGCAGGGTTTACAACCTCAAAGTCATCGAGACGACATGTCGTCGCAAAACACGTTATTTGCGATGATAATCGGTTTCTTGCGACGACTTTTTGTCGTCGCAAAACTCCTTTTTTCTTGTAGTATACTAACAATCCCTAACATTACTATTGGTACTTCTTGGGTGTAGATGAATCTGTTTCTTTTTGTTTTTACACACAAAGATGTTTCATTATTATAGGCATTCTTACATAGAGAAAAGAATAAATAATCCACTACAAAAGTAAGGGCCAAGTCTACGTATTTCTTAATACAGTGCAATAAAATTACATGTTATCTTTTTTTCTCAATTTTTTTTTTTTTTATATTGATAACTACAGTTTTGAAAATCAAACGCTTAGAAATCTAGAGTTTCAGGCTAAAGACACTACAACTTTATTAATTTTGAAATATAATTGAAAAAGAAAATATATGTTGAGTCTGTGGTGGAGCGGGCCAAAAACCGGCGGTGGATAGAACCCTAAAAACAAATGCAAGAGACGGAAAGCTCCTGGGTAGAGATCGTAACAAATGCAAGAGACGAAACCATTTTTAGAAAAGGGGTGATTTTGAAAAGAGTTGAAACCTACGCACAAGGTACATTGCATCTTTTATCTATGTATGTATAATATACAACAGATTTAACAACACATCTTGTACAACTGATAAACTAATTATGGAGCAAAACTAGAACGGGTCAATTCATTCTACACTTATATACACAATGAGAATTACAAATAGTTGTGATAGTTGCAAGCTTGGCTAAACAAAAATTATATGCTTGTTTCTATTATATGCAGCTCTTGGTTTAAAAAGAAAAACAAGGTTATATCAATGCATACACTTGCATTGAGATCTAGTTTCCATGTATCAACCCCTCAGTTAGCTAGCAACAGATTGCTCTCAAAATATTCACTGAACAACCCTTCTTTACAATGAGTGCACACAACAACGTACATTGTCATCAGGAGCGTGGGAAATTTTCTTGTAAAATAGTCATCGAGTCCTTCATATAGCGGTCCGACTAGAATCTGAAAGAGCCACCACCAAATTAAATATATACATTGCAAAACTTAAATGTGTATGAAGATATATCTCATGATTCACATAAATTTGTATTACAATCACCTGAATATCTTTTGGGAGCTGTTCATAATGCTTCAATATGTATTGAATCAGTTGCAGCAAATCACGAACGCTGTTAAACTTGTAATCCCTTTTTGCAGAGAGGGAAATGTGCCTGATTATCTCTGTATCCACCTTTTTGTTCCATTTTAGAACCACATTTATCATTATTATCCTTTCAGTACCTAAAATTGCGCTTGCAGCAGTTTCGAGCTCTTTAGAAAGAATAGAGTCTTCGCTTACTCTATCAATAAAGTCGCTAATGAAAAAAAGTCTTTTCTTTGCAACCCAGAACAGTAAATGGTGCAACACCTCACTTGCTTCTGGCCTGCCAAGAATAACAAGTGGAATTTTGATCAAGATTCGAGGATTCAAACTAGGTGTTGAGAAGTTTAATTATTCTCAAGTAAAACTTAAAATTTGCTTCAGTGTTCTCTAATCCACTACCTAGTACAACGACAAGGACTTGTCACAATGTGCATAATTTAAATAAAACGTATAAAATGAGTCATTGATAGATTAGTAAGCCTTAATTAGTGTTAGACAAAATATAAAATAGAGATATGAATAGATAACTGGAAATAAGAAAATTATATTAATATAAAAAAAATCAAAACAAAAATTGTGAATACAATTGAAATTTAACAACAATTCCAACAATATATAATAACGACGATGACAATATACATTTAAACTGCATAAAAAATTTTAAATCTTTGAACTAAAAAATTCCAAGGCTAGTGTGTCACATTTTTCATAAAGCAAATTTGGCTCCTGACTGTATAACGGTTTACTAGTAGCAAAGACGGAGAACTATGCTATCCCCGCTCAAAAATTATAGTGTATTTCAAATGAGAAGTTGGGGGTCGTCTGTTTTATAGGACTTAGAAGAGACAATGCTTTTATGTGATTTTCATGTTAGACAAAGAGCTTTTCTCAACTTCATGGAAGTTTTCTTTTGGTTTTCCAACTTCATGGGAGGACTCTAAGAGTCAATTCTCATTTACCCGTTTACCTTTTTGAGCATATGAACATATCATTTTGATCTTCTCAAATAGGATAAAGGGTTTCCAAAATGGTACCTCAGACAGGGTTTCCAAGCATTTTTCCAACAATTAGTTCCAAAACTTATCATGTAGAATCTTTGTTGAAGGAAACTATTTATAACCTCACTGATGTACAATTAGAGTTGAAAAGGAGAAGAAAGAAGAGGAATTATTTAGACCGGGAGAGAACAAGGAAGAGATTGAGAAAGTAACAAGGAAAATGAAATCAAGTGGGAGAATAATTCTAACATTATACTTAATAATCAATCATAATCTACTATTGTTTATGCACTCGAAAAAGGGAAACTAAATATATGATATTAAATGCAAAATCAAGAAATCAAAATAAGGAATAATCGATTAGAATTTATCCTAATCAACGTGATTTGCATCACTCACCTTAACCAATATTCAGGTTGTAATAAAAGAGAAATGAGATGAGAAGCTTCTGGGAAACCTTGTACCAAAAACATGTTCTTCAGATTCTCTTCCTTAATATTCTTATTGCGTTCATCATGGTCCCCAAATGGATGTATACCACGAGTGATGCAATAAAAGATGAGGCAACCTAAGGAAAACAAATCCATTGCATGTGTTTGGCGTTCAAAAAGAAGCCATTCTCTCGCTTTCCAGCCTGTAGTGCCGCAACCTATAGTCGATTTGAAAAACATGCATGAGACTAACATTGAACGGATTTAGAAGCAGTTAAAATCAGGTTCAGGAAAAATGTCATCAAATATCAATTTGTAGTAGGTACTAGCTACAAAATGCCCGCTTGGGTTGGAAATGGCAAAAACGCAGTTTTAGGGTAGAGACGTGATAATTCAAGTTCAAATTAGAGATCCACTGTGTTTAATGTGATTTCTAGACAAGTTATGTTCAACTGTGTTCACATGCTCAACCCAATATTATTCGAAATTGAAATGATTAATTAATGACAATGTCGTTCTGACATGTTTACAACTCAATCAAGTATTAGAGTAGATTTTGATGCAAGTATATTGCCTATTACATTAACGATATATCGTGTGCAACCCTTGATTTTCAAGCTAGTTCTTCCGGCATTGATAAGCCCCTACTCAGGCAAATATTTTGATATATTACTGGGGATAATCTAGTAGATTACTCTTAAGCATTGAACTACTTGACAAGGCAATTTTGTAAACCATATTTTGTTGACACGGATAATCTGGTGAGGTAAAAATTGAAACCCTCTCACTGGATTAGTAAAATTAAGAAAATGCCACATTCCTGTAGCAATCCTCAACTTTACTTGTTAAAGGGAAAGAGAGGGCATCAGGAATAATCAGTTAGTTGAACAAATCTTGGAAACGTACCAAGTAAGGGGAGGTAGCAGACCCTCGAAGATCTGCGTATCGGTGTACATAATTTGTCATTAATAAAATTCTTCCATTGATTCTTTCTTTCATTCTTTTGATTCTTTCAATTCGTTCTTTTCTAGTTCTTGTTCCATACGGCACAGCCCTTATCAATAACGTTACTCGAAAATTGGTTAAAATAGTAAGCCTGAATGAGAAATTTAGTTTGAGCAATCAGTTTGACGAATGTATGGGAAATGAGAGTACTTACGTGAAAAATGGTTACTCAACGCAGACTTATTATCACGAAGGCGTCTGCTGATGTCCATATCGGAAAGCTTTGCATGAAAAGATGAGCTTTGCTTTTGTATCAATACGTTTTCGGGCTTTACGTCTCGGTGAACTATGCCCAACTTATGCAAGTGCTCAATTGCAGAAACTATATCCCTGTTAGATCAGATATAGAATGATGTGATCAACTGGCAATTTAATCCCAAAGACAAGGGACCTAAAAGATGATTCATTAGAAGTCCAATAATTGAGCAGGCATGATTGAGCTAAGATATGCATAACACAATTTAAGCTTTTCTAGTTATGTTTAAAGGAAATTTAACTAACCTTATCAATTTTAGTAATAATGGTGTAGGGCGGTTATTATCATCCCAAAGGTCAGCATCTTCCAAAATATTCGGTAGCTCTGAATGTTCATCACTTGAAGTTACAGAAATTGTATTGCAATGATGATCTTTTGATACATACTCATATTGATGTAAAGAAGCCGCGGAAGGCATTTCGATAAGGTCACTCAAATTGCAATCACATAGCTCCAGAACAAGATAAATAAAGTCTCTGTCTTGCTCCACCCCATAATATTTGACAACATTTTGGTGATGATCAGATGCTTCAAAGTTCTTGATTTCTTGATCAGCCATTTCATGATGACTCTTGAGAATCCGTTTCACAGCAACTGGTGTACCTTCATAAGATCCCTCATAGACAACGGTCCCCATGCTGCTTTTACCAATTTCTTTTGATAAAAAAATCACTAATTTTTCGCCTATCCGCAGTTGGTTCTCATTAGATGAAACTTCTGAACTAGAAGTAGTACTTTCTTCTCTACGCTGATTTACATAACAAATTTCTTGCGTATAAATAGATAAATTGAAATATAGACCAATTAAAACAAATGTTAGAAAAAAAGAGTCAAAACTGTCCATGTTTTTCTTTTAATTACAACTTGAAAGATAACGTTAAAAAAAAAAAAAGGAAAAAAAAAACCTTACTTTACTTATGGAAAATGAAACAAGAAGAATTAGTTCAAACTTGCTTCCTTTAAACTCCAAACTACCACCACCACCGCTAACTCAAAAGAGAAGTTTTTTTTTCTCAAAATAATTTTGTTCTCATTTTTATTTACAAAATAGAAATAAAACTATTAATGGTAGCCAAAAAAAAAAATCCCTAGCCTGCCTCGAAAAATACAAAAACAAAACCACAAAACCAGAAGTACAATGTCATTTTCCCGCCAAACTTTACATCACTCCATTAATGCACCCCGACCAGAGGAGTACGGATCTGACATTATGTGTGTTTGTGTTTGTAACATAGGAAATAGGAAAAAAAAAACAAAAACAAAAAAGAAAAACAAAACAAGAAGACTCCAAAATCATCATCCAAACAACAGCCAACAGGGGGTGGGTGGGCCCCACCCAAATGGGCCTCACATCACTTACATGGATCTCGGAATTTGTTTCTGAAAGCGTGAAGGAACATTGGCAATGATGCAGCTAAAAAAAAGAAAACAAAATAAGAAAAAAAATAAATATAAAAAAGAAAGAGTACCGTTGGCGAGAGGGTACTGAGTCGGTCCGACATAGGTTTTGTGGAAATTTAGCTGAAAAAATTCCAAAATTAGCCGTACTACTTCCAACTTCGTGTGAGAGAGTGAGAGAGAGAAGTATAAAAGGGTTTTTTCAGGTCAATGTCAAATCGAAGCTTTTATGGAAGAAAAGTAGAAACGGGAGTTTTCGTATGTGAAAGTAATCACCACAGCTCGATGCGTGGAGGAGATCTCGCAGGAAATCTCCTCCGCACACTCCTGAGGAGGGAACTGCAACAGCTGTGGGTCGATGAGAAGACTGGCAAAGCGATAAGGAGATTGAAAGCCTACGGCAGCTGGTCGTGACGACGGTACTAGAGGCTGGAGCCGGTGAGGACGCCTGCGAGCCGTGGCCTGGTGTTTTGTTCAAAAGTGCAGCGGCTAGAGGATGAAAAGATTGAGGGAGAGGAAAGAAACTGTGAAAAACCCTATTGTCTTTTTAAGTCTTTTTTTGGTATGGCCTTCTAACCGGTAATGGTACAGTCAGTTTTTAACTATTAAATTTTGTTAAAATTAAATTAGATTTAAAATGTATATAAAAAAATAATATTTGATACGTATCTAACGGTTCAAAATAGAATCTTTCGGTAGCTCACTTTTTCAGTGCCACCAGAGAACTAATTATCTGTTTTGGTACGTTATTAGGGCTATGTACAAAACCATTCAACTTGACAAACCAATCTAAGTCTCCCTAACCCAGCCAGAAAGACACAACCCACCACTTTTTTTTTTTTTTTTTTAATTTTTGCCTATTAAGGCCTAGGCCTGAGTCAGTTGGTTGGGCGATTCCAAACCCGTTAAACCTAACCTGACCCGCACTAATGACTAGTAGTATGTATTAAGGGTTAATTTCACAAATGGTCATTGAGGTTTATATTCAATTCCACTTTGGTTCTTAACTTTTCCCACAATTGGTCATTGAGATTTTACTTTATTTCAGTTTCGGTCCTTTTGTTATCTAGGTGTTAAATATTTGACTGAATTTATATAAATTTGAGACTAAAATTAAAAGCGTCTAAAGTTTAGAGATTAAAATAATACAAAAAACAAAAGTTAATTTCTAAAATAGCCTCTCATTTTCCTCTCTTCTGAAAACCCTCCATCTCTGACCTCTCCCTGACCTCTCCCTTTCTTCTAAAAATCCAAGCCTCTCAATCTTAGTTCCCACTCCGCCCCTTCCTTCTCCCTCTCAAGCCTCCACTGCCGTCACCTTCTCGAATCTCATTTCTTCAGTGCCAGCCCTCTCCAGCTGCCACCGTCGTACCTCTCAACTGCTGTGCCTCGAAAGCCACATCTGCTTCAAAAGGTCAGACCTCTCTTCACATCTTCTCCTTCTTTATTATTCCATTTGTTTCTTTCTTTGTTTTTTTTTTTTTTTTTGTTTTTGTTTTTGTAATGTTTCTTTTGAACCTTTTGAAGTTTTATCACGTCCCTCTTGAACATGCTTGAAGTTTGGTATTCATCTAGGCTATCAGGTAAATTCAATTACAATATTCGGTTTTTTGTTTACAATTAGTTCTATGCATCCCTATCCTATTCTTGATTACTGTATTGCTGTGTTGCTGACTGCATGAGGATTAGAATGTTTTGACATTTTTATTATTGTGTTGTGCGTTGGAACATTTTGTTTTCGTTTTTGTTTTTGTTTTTTTGTTTTTGTGCTGGTGTGCTGTGCATTGGACCATTTTGATTATTGTGTATTATTGTGTTATTGACTTATTGAAATCTGAATGTCCAAAAGATAGTGTTTTTTGTTGGAAAATGAAATCTGTATGTCCTAAAAGTATAAAAAGAAGTATAACTTTTTTTTTTTTTTTTTTTGCTTTTTGTTTTTTTTTTTAAAATGAATACAAATATTGCAACTTGTTCAAAAAATAAAGTGTTTTTTAAGTCTGAAAATGAAAATTGAAATTAACCATTACTAACTATTTTCTGATTCAGTGTTGTAGCTTAGTATTTATACTAATTTGTGTTTCTTTCTTTCATCAGGTATATAATACAGAGGGAGTTCTCCGATGACTTCTCGGAGATCCCTCTTCCTTGCGATATATGCCATTCTCAGTTGTTCGAGCTCCTCCGGACTGTGCTCTTCGGTCTCGAGGCCGGCGTTGTGGCTCCTCTAAAACTCACCATTTCTCTCTTTCTTCTCCTCAAAATTTTCAGGACATAAAAGTCACCCTTTTTTCCCAAATTTAGCGAAAGTCTCTCTTCCTCGATCTTTCAAAATATCCCATCAGTAAAACTTAGAAAATTTCCCCCTCAATCAAAGATGTAGAAGATCAAGTCCATTTGGCAGGAAAGTGTTGTTTGAATGGTCAGTTTTAGTTTGAGCTTTGATTAAACACTACTTAGAAGAAGAACAAGTTTTCAAGGAGATTGAGGAAGTCCAAGGAAGCTCGAAGAGTCCACTCAAGTTCTAGGTAAGAGATTGAAAACTATAACATTCTTTAAAAGAGTTTCTAGTTATTGTTAATATATATATATATATAATTAGTTGTGTTCATCTTTGGCTAAGAATGTTAGTACCGTGATTTTGGGCTCTGTATAATACTATTAAAGGTTTGTGGTATGATGCTTTAGATACCACCAGTGCCATTTTTCTGCTCTCTAAAGTCTCCTCTTATATATATTTTCTTCCTTCTATATTCATCCACAACTTATACAAGTACTTACCCGTTTACATACAAATTGTACGTCCTTTTAACTAATTGAGATAAATGATATATTAGGCCACGCAAATGTCGGACGTTGAAGATAATTCCGCGGACTTACCCAAGCAAGTTATGGTACTAATTTCCTCATGTGCTTTTGTTTTGTTATCACTAATAATTATACCTATTGTTGCTCCTTCTAAAACCATTTATGTTTTCTGTTTTTTTTTTTTTTTTTTTTTTTTTTTTTTTTTGGTTCTTTTCTTTTCTTTTCTTCTTCTTCGTCTTCGATCTGAAAGGATATCATCAAAGCTGCTGAAACCGTTATCCAGAGTCGGGTACATAAATAATTCTTTCTATATGCTGTAGATATATATATACATATATATTATCTGAACTACGCCATTTTTAATATCCCATATTTGTCCATATTCCTTTACACTTTTTTATATGTGTGTTCTTCTCTGTAATTAGCAATTGTTGTGTAATTAGCAGTTGTTGTTTGATACTGATTGTAATTTTCAAATTCACAGGATGACAACACCCCTGAACAAATAATTGAGCTTTTGAAAACTTTCGTAAGAGAATTCAAAAAATTTGTAAGTAGTTCTCCTTCATATATAAACAGCTTTTAGTATATGATTGAGAGAGTTAACATCATGAATTATTGTTAATTTTGTGTATATAGCTCATTCTTATCTATATATTTAGTTCTTCTCTACATCAAAAAAATAAATGTGCATATCCCTACCTTAATTAAGCGTTTCTTCCCATAAGTTAACCTAATCAAAACAGTAGGTGTTACTTCTAACCTCTTCTTCAGAAATTAAGTAGAGAAGTAAACTGCATTCTCATCCATATATCCTTTGTCAGTTTCCAGAAAACTGTAAGGTTCAAACTAAACTATGCAGAATACGTACATTTAAAATCTTTTCAGCAATTAAGACTTCAAATGGACTGCGACTAACATCTGAGTTAAAAGTTCAATAAGTAAAATCTATATGCATGCTCATGACATTAAACTTTTCTATTCTATACCCACTTTATCCAAAGCATTACTTAAATCTATCATACCTTAACCTGGTATCCAATAAGTTGTGAGTTTTACTGAACCTGTTTTAATCTGTCATACTCAAAGTATTATTGTTTTAATTTCTCATTTTAAAAATTCATAAATAATTCATCTTAAATTCAAAGCAGTCAAAACCAGCACCAATAAAAACTAGACTTGTAAACGAAGAGTTTGATATATCATATGCCTTCTGTAACGACCCATACATTCACTTATTATGATATTGTTCACTTTCAGCTTAGGTTCCGCATTCATTTGCCTTTTGACTTCGCCCCTAAAAGCCTCGTACTAATAGAAAGTAGGGTTCTTCCTTTTAAACGATCACCTATATCTTTCTTCAGACGATGTAGAACTGCATTATTTATCTCATCTTGTCCCTTTTTCCTCAAATGGATTAATTATTGCCCCAATCATTCTCCTTTTAGGGACGTAACGTCCTCTTTAGCCACACTTTCATGGCAGTTCAGTTTTTTACAATTTTGAACTGCAATAGTCATTCACCATTTTTCATAACTATATAGTACTGTAATAATTATTATTATTATTATTATTATTTTATTAACACGGTTTGTGGTATGATGCTTTAGATATCACCAGTGCCATTTTTCTGCTCTCTAAAGTCTCCTCTTATATATATTTTCTTCCTTCTATGTTCATCCACAACTTATACAAGTACTTACCCGTTTACATACAAATTGTACGTCCTTTTAATTAATTGAGATAAATGATATATTAGGCCACGCAAATGTCGGACGTTGAAGATAATTACACGGACTTACCCAAGCCAATGGTACTAATTTCCTCATGTGCTTTTGTTTTATTATCACTAATAATTATACCTATTGTTGCTCCTTCTAAAACCATTAATGTTTTCTCTTTTTTTTTTTTTTTTGTTCTTTTCTTTTCTTTTCTTCTTCTTCGTCTTTGATCTGAAAGGATATCATCGAATATGCTGAAACCGTTATGAAGATTCTGGTACATAAATAATTCTTTCTATATGCTGTATATATATATATATGTGTGTGTGTGTGTATATATATATATATATATATATTATCTGCACTACGCCATTTTTAATATCCCATATTTGTCCATATTCCTTTACACTTTTTTATATATGTGTTCTTCTCTGTAATTAGCAATTGTTATGTAATTAGCAGTTGTTGTTTGATACAGATTGTAATTTTCAAATTCACAGGATGACAATACCACTGAACAAAAAATTATGGCTTTGACAAATATCCTCGCCCTACTCGAATATTATGTAAGTAGTTCTCATTCATGTATAACCAGCTTTTAGTATATGATTGAGAGAGTTAACATCATGAATTATTGTTAATTTTGTGTATATAGCTCATTCTTATCTATATATTTAGTTCTTCTCTGCTTCAAAAAATATATATGCATATCCCTACCGTAATTAAGCGTTTCTTCCCATAAGTTAACCTAATCAAAACAGTAGGTGTTACTTCTAACCTCTTCTTCAGAAATTAAGTAGAGAAGTAAACTGCATTCTCATCCATATATCCTTTGTCGGTTTCCAGAAAACTGAAAGGTTCAATCTAAACTATGCAGAATACGTACATTTAAAAACTTTTCAGCAAATAAGACTTCAAATGGACTGCGACTGACCTCTGGACCTGTGAGTTGTTGCATCACAAGAAACGATAATTAATGAAAAAAGGAGGATGGAAAGAAAAAAAACTTGTAGTTTAACACTAATTAATGTTCAGAGCAAGAAAATAGAAAAGGATTTCTTACCTCAACTATTAAAGTGATTAACAACAAAAGAAACTAAAACTGCAATCCTCGAAGGAAAATGATAAGCTTGTAGTTTAACACTAATTCCACTCACAAAGCAACTCTCTTATTGAGTTATTGATTCAAAACGAAATATTTTGTTGAAAGAAGTGAAGCCACTACCGACAAAGCTATTGGTCGGGGTGTTCACTGACTAGACTAAAAATATTTTCTTCTTTTGCTTCTTCTTCGTTTCTGAGATCATAAAAGAAAAAGAATACGAACTTTTAATTTAAAAAAGTCTAGATTACGTACATTTGATATTATCTGGGTTTTAACAAGAATTCCACGGTAGAGTATTAAAGAGAAAAATGTAATGGTAGGGCTATGTTAACCACAAAACTTGTATTAGAGGCTAGATTACGTACTTTTTATTTTATTGTGATTTTGATCTGATCTAAAATTTAAAAAAAAAAATGTAAAGACTAAAGACTCTACGTGCTCACCCCTTAAGATTCTCCTATGACTACATTTTAATTGATCTATTTCTTCATTCTATTGGATGATATCAATTTTCCACTTCTATATTTATATGTGAGAAACTCTTCTCAATCAGGAAAGGACTGCTTCTGGCTCAGAGAAAAAAATTGGAAAAATAAAGGTTTTATTATCAAAGGAAATTGGTCGAAGTGCCAACGGGACTATTGTATATGAGGGGTATTATGAAGAGAGACAAGTTGCAGTGAAATGCCTTACCAAAAATACTTTTAAACGTGACCTGAAAGCTCAAAGAGAAACCAAGACTCTCATAGCATCTGATCGTAGCCAAAATATTGTGACGTATTATGGGAAGGAAGCGGACGATGATAATATCTATCTTGCTCTAGAGCGTTGTGATTGCAATTTAGATAACCTCATTCAAATGTATCCTAAGAATTCCTCTCGACATAAGCGCCCTTTATCAAAAGGCTTGAAAGAACTGAAGAAAACTATAGGAGATATTAAGCTTTGGAAGGAAAATACATGCCGTCCGTTTCCTATATTACGGGACTTGATGAGGTTAGTCAAAAGTTCTTTTAATTTCGTGTTATGTATAGTTTAGGACAATTATGGTTATGTACTCAATTGGACTTTGAATGAGTCATCTTTGATGTCCTTAATTTCTCTTTGAATTACATTTAATGAGTCATTTTCTATTTATGATCATAGGGGCATGGTTTCTGGGCTTAATGTGCTTCACAAGTCGGGTATAGTTCACCGACACTTAAAGCCACAAAACATTTTTATAATTCATGAAAGCGGAACTTTATGTGCAAAGCTTGGTGATATGGGCATTAGCAGACGACTTCGTGGTAATAAGCGAGTGTTGACTCCCCATATTAACTCTCCTGGCAAGTACTCATTTCCCTATTTTGAAGAAATCTTAACTATTCTATCCAATTCTAGGGTAACCTTATGTCTAAACTGGTAAGAAGAAAAGGGTTGACGATGTTAGATGAGCTATATAAGTAAGCAACTTCGCTAGTTCATACTTTATTACTCTAATTAGTATGTACTTTGATACCATTTCAACCTTAAACATTTTAGTCTCACTTTAAACATTTCTTCACAGCATACAGAAATCATGGCTGGAAAGCACCCGAAGAGCTTCTTGATGGCCAACAAACAACTGCAATGGATTTGTTCACTTTAGGTTGCATCCTATTTTTTTCCATCACTGGTGGTAAACATCCATTTGGGGAACAAGATCGGAATATTAAGAGTAAAGATTATAAGCCAGACTTGCATTTGATAGAAAAGTTCCCTGAAGCTGTTGATCTTATTTCTTCTTTAATAAAATTTGAGGCTGGGGAGAGGTAAGATTATATAGTTTCCTTCTGCATGGATTATATAGTTTAACAATGTCTTAAAATTGTGCTCCATTTCTATGTTGAAATAAAATGATATGCGACAAAAGGAGAGGTAAGCTAGAGAATGAGGAAGTGTGTGATGAAACAAGTGATCCTAGTATTTCTCAAAATTATATCATGTTGTGACAAGCCTTGCTTTTGTATAATTAGTGCATTAACTGGAGAACTATGGAAAAGGTTTAAAAGTTTTAGTTGGGAAGAAGAAACTTATTTCAGTGGACCTAATTTGAGCCCTCAACTCTTGATGAAATTTCATTCGTTATTCATGGCAGGCCACAAGCAAATAAGGTGCTGCATCATCCACTGTTCTGGGACGCGAAGAAGAGACTTGAGTTTCTCTGCGCCACTAGTAACAGTGTAACCAAGGAATCTACTAGTCTTTCGGACAACAAGAAGACTACTCTTTTGAGTAGGCTTGAATCTACTGCAATTAAAATTTTAGGTAAATTTAGTCCGGGAAAGGTTAAATATTGGAGCGAACAGATCCTTAACGATAAAATCAAGCAAGACTACCCGTACATCTTATGGGGTTACAAGTTTGGCAGTGTCCAGCACTTGTTGCGATTCATTCGAAACAGACGTGCTCATTATGAAGATGATCCAAAAGAAATCCAGGTGCTTGTAATACCAGTATAAGAATGTGATACATTTTCAATGCATTCATTGAGGTTTTCAATGTTAATATTCACTTACTTTTATTGTGGCTCTTTACAGGACCATTTCGGAACGAAAAATGAAGGATTCGATGACTATTTTACAAGTCGATTCCCATTACTTTTTTTTGAAGTGTACAATGTTGTGCGTGACTGCTGTAGAGAAGATGCGCTCTTCAAGGCATTTTTCTAAGGGGATCATGAGGAAGTAACTGTCTGAAGTGTTGATGGAAACTAGACTCCAAATGGAGTATATAAGCTTTTTTTTTTTTTTTGTTTTTTTGTTATTGGCATAAGGGGCTAACTGTGCATGTGCGTTTTGCTTCATTTTGCAGATCGCTAAATACATACATGATTAGGTTATACACACATGATTAGGTTTTCTTAATTTCTGGCCAGTTTCCTCTTACTTCATCCTCTTGATTAATTTATGTTTCTTTTTTTATGGAAATTGGTAGGTGAATGTTAAATGCTTTGTGTGAAAATAGTATAAAGACCTTTTTTTTTTTTTTTTTGTGGATATAGAAAGTTAATTTCATGCTTTTATTCTTGTTTTGCCGGTTTGCCGATCCATGTCTTTCATGAATTTACATCACCAAAACAGAGCTTCAAGTTTGATATCAATAGTTTTGTTTATTGTACAAACCAAATTAAAACCTCTCTAACTTAATACTATTAGGGCTAGGATACATTTTCTGCTTTTCGTTTTCTTTCTTATTCTTCTTTTTCTTTTTGTCTTTTTTTTATTTTTTATTTTTTTTAGGAAGAGTAGCAAACATTATTAGGTGCTGCTGAATCTATAATTATGAACATATTGAGAAATGAATACTTATTAACTTAAAAAGAGTTGTGTGATTTTAATATGTGTAGATGCATTGTTTTTTTTTTTTTAATTTTATTTTAAGATTCACGTTTGACTTATAAATTCATAAACAATAAACATAGTAAATTTAGTAATTTATCGATACATGAGGTGGAAGCTATATGGTTTCTTGGCACGAAGTGAAGACTCAAGTTACGATCAGTGGTGGCGCACGTCCTTACTGAAAAGTTAATGTCTTAAAAATTTTTATTAGTTTCTAGCAAGCGCCCCCTCCAACTTTTGTTTTTCAGATGTTTTCTTTTCTTTTTCTTTTTTCATTTATATCTGCTCTCTAATGATTTTAGCGTAACATAAACGTATTAATTGAGTTTTAACATAATAATTATATTAATTGTGCTAACCTCATTACAAAAAATTATGGATTTGTCGTCGCTAATTAGACGACAGTTTCATACAAAATTGTCATCAAACATGCCATTAAAAATGTGACGACCCTAACTTTTGATTGTCATCCTATACACATACTTAACATTACTTAACCTCTAACACTTACTAATTATAACCTGTTAAAATTCAGGCCAATCTTTTTTCATTCTTACCATGTACGTCTAAATGCTGTAGCATTTAGCTAGCCTTCTGTTTTCAGCTATTCGTAAAATGTTGTAGCATTCTAACAGCATTCTGTACATTAGTCATTGTCAAAATGTTGTAGCATTCTGACAACATTCTGTTATATTAGTCATACCTAAAATGTTGTAGCATTCTGACGGCATTCTGTTACATTAGTCATCAAAATACATAAAACACTATTTTATTTTACACATAATGTTCAGCAGCATTTCCAAAACACATGAGGTGTCCACAACCCACTTGCCCACATTCCGCTGCTACACCCTCTCTGCATGCCCAGCATCAAGTTTCAGGGAGCCGGTGCCTTACCCGTGCTTCCTACAACACGAACAAGCTTGCTTTTCTATGTTGCACAAACATTGTGCATATAGTAGAATTTTGAATGTTAGATACAATGTAAATGCTAGATACTATGTTAGGTAAGTATTTACAAGACTTATGTAATCGTAGAACTTTATTATGCAAAAAGTATGTATCGATGTTAAGTCGAGATCAAACTAAGAAAAGTGAAATGTTAAACTTTAACGAAAGGTTAATCTCATGATAAAATGCTCAATAATGCACAAATTCACAAGATTTAACTAAAATTACCGTTTCAATAAGACAATTGATAAACGGTAAGAGACTAAACGTCCTATTTGTACCAGCCTTCGAAGGAAAGGTTATTATGAGACTATGAAAGATATGAAACCGTGACTGAGTTGGATTGGTTAGCTACCCCACTCCTCACTGGTTATGCGCGCTATGGTACAACAGGACAGGGCCCTTAAGAAGTAAAAGACAAGAAAATGAAACACGAAAACCATTCCATATAACAGTATGGTATCTGTAAACAAGAATGAAAAGAATGAGAAACACAGAATGAAAGTCGTTTAGAATTCTGTACTAGGCTATATGTTATGAATGCATATATGGGTATGCATAATTATTGCATCTGTTATGACCTATTAATACTTGCTGAGTAAAAGCTCAAACGTTTCTTGGTGCGGGCCAGTTATTACAGAAGATTTGTAGAGGGTTTTGCAAAACTAGCTGCAACACTCACTACCCTCACACGAAAAGAAAAGAAGTATGAATGGACTGAGAGGTGTGAAGAAAGTTTTCAAGAATTAAAACAAAAGCTGACTACTGCACCAATACTTACTATTCCAAAGGAAGGAGAAAAGTTTGACGTATACAGTGATGCTTCCAAACTAGGGCTGGGAGCGGTATTGATGCAAAATGGAATGGTAATTGCGTATGCGTCTAGACAATTGAAAACTCATGAGAGAAACTATCCTACTCATGATCTTGAATTAGCAGCAGTAGTTTTTGCCTTAAAGATATGGAGGCATTATTTATATGGTGCACAATGTCAGATTTTCACTGATCACAAAAGCCTCAAGTATTTCTTTACACAGAAAGAACTTAACATGAGGCAACGCAGATGGTTGTCCAGTACTTTTACAAAAGGATATTCATTCATTAGGGTTGGAGCTAATTACAGGTAAATTAGCCACTCTACAGATACAACCATCTATTTTTGACAAGATGACAGAAGCCCAACGTCAAGATTCTACTCTTGACAAGTATTGGAAAGAAGCTGATGAAGGAAAAGAGACGGAATTCAAAGTCTCTGATAAGGGAATACTCACATTTCAAGGAAGGGTTTGTGTTCCGGAAGATAAAAAACTTAAGAGTCAAATTCTTTCTGAAGCTCATAATACCCCTTATTCATGTAGGATCTAGTTGTGATTTTTAATGAAAAATCATTTGAACAACAACAAACTTGTAGGCGGAATTTCAAAAATTTTAACATATCCATTTAATTCCAAATTAAATGTAAACCACAACGAGAGATACATGCATGATATATGTTTATAGACAAAGGAATAAAATGACAATCATACCTTTGTGACGATTGAATCAAAAATGACCGCAAGGATCTTGTCTCACTATCTCACGTTCCGAGATGGAGAATTGCCGTGAAACAAGATCGTTGATCTATCGATACGATCACACCAAAAACCACTCGTTGATTCAAGACTATGACTCTAAGTGTTTGGGGATGAGAGAGTGGGCTCTTTTCAAAAACCTAAGGAAACAATTTTTCCTTCTATTTTGTCTCAAAATTTCGGCCACCTTTAGGAGAGAAAAGTGTGAGATTTTTTCTTCTCTTAAAAACTCATAGTTAGGGTTTTCAATAATAACCTCTTATAGGAGGAAATTCAAAAACTCAAACCCTAGATG